TGGACGGAGTCCCATGTCACTACCTGGTGTGTCGCATTATTGAATAGCTGTAAGCTATTGGTTAATAGCAGGGTTCGAACCCAGGACCTCGGGGATCGCAGCCACGAGCTCTATCCTACCTACTGGCTTCCCACAAAATGCTATTCAATAGAATTCTTTTTCTATATAAAGAGCTTGTGGTGACCTTTAAAACTTAAATTTCTCGTACATTTAGTTGTGTGTGTGGAACTGATCGAGCAAAGCAAAGGGTGAACCGGTACAGTTCCAAAATGAACTATAAAGACACCTTTTAGTGGGCCATAAATGATCTGTCAATCGACCACTTGATACTTTGGTCTAATTATTCGTTAGTCTAAATCAATAATCGACTGACTAGTTGAATAATCGTTGAAGTGAATAAGTTTCATGTCCTCACTCACCTATGTTTTATACAAAAAATTAAAAGTTTCTGCTCCATTGGCCAAAAGCATTGAGTAGCATTGAATGCGTGAGTATGAATGCCAAAAGTCAATAGGCATGTGTTCATCAGCACAGTTATTCGTACAACTGATCGTGATTCGTACAGCTTTGTTTAGGAAGTATATAGACTGGTTTCTCAGCACGCGCCACTACATTACGACGAGTTGCAGTGGCCTTTGCCACTCGCAAATCATCCGATCAACCAGATGATATACAATTAGTGACCTTGCATAATTGACTAGACAGTATTAATTGCGTTTCAATGAGGCCGTGTATCACAATTTACTACTTTACGGGAGCGAACCTATGATTTACTGATTACCTGGTGAGTGGGAAATCAATATTACTGTTTGTATAGTTGTTCTATTTGGAAGAAATGTATTGTGTACACGTATGTTAATACGGTTCCTGTCGTAAGTTATACCTATAGAATTAACGTTACTGTGACACTGACTACACAGAAAGTAGAAGAACTCGTGTACTCTCAAACATTGATACTAGAATAAAAATCAAATCGCTTAAACAACAAAAACGCTCGAGTACAAAATGTATGTAAATATTCATTGTTTAATCGATTGTTGTGTAAACCCTACTCTTGCATTTGAGATAAGAAACTTTGCAGTTTAGAGAAGTTAATCAAATGAGCGTCTGTTCACATGAATTTTGACTCATTCCATTTATTTGATTACCGTTGCTAATTGTGATTTTTTTTCTTTCCATTACTTTAGCTCATTTTAAACCTAAATTGTCATAAGTCTGCATGGAAAAAAATGTGTACGGTTCCAAAATGGAAAAATCAAAATAAATTGGATTTGGGATTGGTGTTTAGGGTTTTATAAGGGGTTTTAGTTTATTGCATTTAATCGGAATGATCATGACATTGGTAAACGCCCCTTGGAAAAATAACTACTTATTACAAAGCAACACATTACTATCCGTAAAAAACGGAATACTTATGTAATTTACTCCTTTTTTTCTGACGATATAGATTAATTTCTCAATACGATGCACCAGTCACGAGCGTTTACAAACGCAACACATTTCACTGTTTTCCTCAGTTATGTTGTCACAAGCAAGACAAACGAGGCTTAACCAGGGTGACACTTTGGGTCCATTGTTGTTACCCAACTAAACACCTGGTGACGTCACACATTCCTAGGACACATGTGAGGATCATATTTGATACAGTTTTTATGCGCTTCGTTTCGCGGGCTTTCTCTCAACCGTTGACAGCTTCCGAGTCTGGGGACGGAAATTACGCATTAGGAACTGAAAGGACGTTGGGCGCCGTTTTACTTTCACATATAAACTGTTACTGCCGGTGTTAATTAGGTACTATACTCTATGGCTATTATGTGGTTGATGGCTATATTTGCAGCCAGGGTTATGGTCATAGCTGCTCTTGTAGTCTTCTGACGTTTTTGTTCTATTAATACTACAGCGTACATTGGTAGGGGTAAGTCATCAAGGTGATAACAAAAAACAAATTATGTTATTGTCAGGAGGGTATTGTAGACAGTTTATGAGCAAGAGTAATATTTTACCCTAGACCTAGAAAAGTATAATTTTTCCTCAACCTGATATGCCAAGAGAACATATACCTTACTTTTGTCAATTTTAAATTATTGGATGACTTTTTGAGGAGGAATAACTCTTACACCTATGCGTTGATTTTTCACTCAACCCAAAAGGACTTTTTAATCCTCCGTCATTTATTGGTTTTAACATTTTCTGGTACTATAAAAACTAGAATCCTATCGAGAAGCGTTGATTAGAGACATAATTATTTATCAATATATTTTTATCACTTTTCTTATCATAACAATGCCTCACAATTCATTCTTCGCCGCTATAGCTTCATCATGACAGAACATTCCATTTAAATCCCAAGTAGGTTGCAGATCAAAATAACGTGTACGTAAACCTTGGAGAATTTGCCTAATCATCAGGAGTTCTAACTGTTTGAAGACAACAAACAGTTGTAACCATAGGGTTTTCGACGTTAGGTTACGGTGGGTTTGAAGCTGAATTCAAGGCACTGCCCAGCTTTAAGAAACTATTTATGCAACTACTATTTTACCACAGTATTAATGCAGCCAGCCCCCGAGGAAGAGCCATTGTAAAGGAGGAGCATAAGAAACTGACGACAGCATGATTCGTGATAGTAAAGCCACCTTAGCCTTGTTGGTTCATTGTGCTCTCTTTCCACACCAAATAATCAACAGTTCGCAAGGTATTTGCTTTTTTCTAGGTTCTTTAGCTACTCGAGTGACTTTCTGGAGTCGAGGAACGGATCACTTACAATCACGTCAACAACTGTAGGAGATGGTGGTGTTTTTTTTAAAGACATGACAAAAATAAATTCGATTGCTAACTTTCTTTATCAACACCTGGACATTGTAGCTCAGTCCTGGGACGATGCAGAAAAGAGAACACTCTTGCTACATAACACGGCTGAAGAACCTGGCTAGAAAATGAGATATTGTCTCTCCAGGCGGAAGCAATTCGCCAGTTTATAGCCAGACTGATGGAGCTGTTAGCTCGAGCCTCGCGTCCATTAAGTGCTGTAACTCTTGTTGGTTTTTGTAACATAACAATGGAAATTGGCTTAGTCATTTGGGCGAGGAAACCACGATATGAAATTTACTGGCTATCCTTTTACATTAAAACATTCTGCTGCATTTGACTTTCGTAATATGGTTGGAGATTTGTTATAATTGATTTGTTGAGTGATTCTCATTTGTGAATTTTGGGCAGGATGCGTATTTTAAGCTTAGTATGAGTGGACGGTGAGTGTAGAATGGAGTGAGGTGATCTGTGTAACTTTTTACTGATTAAGATCCGCTGTTTCTTCAGCCAAGAACATTAAGAATAGCTGGACATAGTTTCTTAACATTAGGGTGCTGTGTATTCGCAGAATATCATATTGATATAGATTAACAAAGACTAAAGTCTGAAGCTGTTTTTAGACGTCTTAAGAATTGTTTTTGTTATTCAGTGTAAAGTAGACTAAGGTAATTTTGCATTTCAAATAACCTGTTGAATTTGTGCAAGGAACCTGTGGCAGATTTAAGTTTGAATAAAAAAGTTCGTAACACATACTCAAACATCTCATGGATAATGGAAAATTATTAAATTGCAATAGTTTAGTTTGAATTCCACTATGTTGCAGATATATGAGGCTGTCATACGAATTGTATAGTTAAAAAAACATACTTCATGATTTATTGTAGTTAGGGAAGACCAGTATGGTTATTTTATCTCAAAGATTGGAAAATATCTTCTCCGCTTGATTCGTAAGAGTGTAACACATGAACAGGAATTTCTATTAATTGAACAAATGGTTGCCATCAGTGTTTTAGTGTGGCCTTGCATCAGTCCAAAGTCTCCTACAATAAATAAGTAGATGTGTGATTAACGCACACGACAATGTGGTACAAATTGACGTCACCAGTTTTGTTTATACATGTGGTGTTGTTCCTAGGTGTGTAAATTGCCCCAGATTGTAATATTAATTGCAGAATCCCCCATACAATTTGGAAATTTACATGGTTAATAAATTAAAGTATTGAAATAATATTGTTTCAATGGGAATAAGTAAAATGGCATTTGTAACAATAATACGATGACGAAGGATGATTAGATGAATGGTGTAGGCTGCAGAACTGCTTAAATACTACAAAGTTAATTTTCAAGTCCAAAAGATCCCAGTGAAATAAACTTTACTGTGGAGGAGTCAAATGCCCTGCAGATTCTGTACTATACAACATCGATGCCAAACACGTCGAATAGTGGACTTAGTGACCATCATATGTGACAAGGTCGTCACCCGTACATCATAACCCTCTGGATAAATTATTGACCATTGAACTGACGACAGAGCTTGAATAAAATGGTCAGGACTAAGAAATCAGCTGACCACAGTCAGTAACAAACAGGCACAAGGCATTAAACTATTCTTAATCTTCCCACACATTTTAGGACAGAAACATTTTCCTTTTTCCGCTGAGAAACATTGAATTAAAAACGTACCATGCTCTGTAAGGGTTTAAACTAATTTTAGTGACAGATTCACAATTACGAATTTTCAACAGTTCTTAGAATTCTGGTTCTTAGACAGCCAACAATCATATTTTAGTGTTTTACATTATGCTTAATGTAGGGTGGGCCTTTTCTGACCCCTGAAAGAAGATACTGGTTTGTCCACAAGAAATTCCCTGTGAACGCTGACAATAGGGTTCAAATACTCCTTATTTGCGCAGAAATTTTCACAATCAAGATCAAGTATAGTGATAAACATCACCCACTTCTAGTGATTTATTGCAGAAACTTCATCTTTTCCTCCTTACTTTCCATCTCTCTTAATCTTTCCCATAACTGACGTGGCTCAGTGGCTCAGGATATTCCGATGGTCCAAATATGCACTTTATCGCCTTACAGTTGTGAAAGGAAGTTCTTCCTGAGTTTTTCCGCGGGAGCCGAGTGGGGACAGCTTTATATGGTCACTCCCGCCACGGCGCGACTAGTCGTGTTGAACAGCTGATCTAGCTGTCATGGCGCCCTGCACCTGTCTGCCGGTACGGTCTAGTGTTATCAGTGTTTGTTATCAGTGGGATATCTAGCTGTTGTCTGTGATAAGTATACTTTACTGATAAGATGGTGAAGGTGAAGTTGAAGAGTGCGTGGATTGTTTAGCGAATTTGGATTTGTTGTTTCTACGCCATTGGGGTTTTAAGGGAACGGTCCAACCCCTAGTCTTGTACCCAAGGTTGACCTTTTGTGCGATAGGAAATTTGGTAGCCCAACGACAAACGACATCTAAGTCAAAAAACTATTTAGTTCTAACCTTCCCAACGACCTTCACAAAGGTCAAAGGCCTTTGAAGGAGAGCAATATAACCTTTCCAGAATTTTATTTCATTTGCATAAGTAATATTACTTCAAGGTTTATGAATTTGGAAAGTGCTACAAATATTTCGTTGCTCTCAATCTTAAGAAGAAAAAGGGTGAAATTAAATCTTCATTTCTTAAACGAACGAGGAGTAAAGTTCGCGGGTTTTTTATTTTTAAGAATATTGAAACTATTCTTGTTTAAAAAGTAAAATGATTTTATCAATGTTATTTTCTATCATAACTATTTTTGTTCAGTTCCTAAAAGAGACATTTGTCTATTTTTTTTAAATAACGTTCTAATACTATCACTAGGTATCTAAACACGTCCTGCTGTTGTCTGCGATAAGAATACAGTACTTTGAAACAATTGATAAATGAATGGTTGCGCTTTGTGAATTTTAAATGTTCATTGATTCGCAAAGGTGTGTTTGCTTTAAGGTTTAGTGGTGATAAACGTACAATATTTACGGTATACGATACTCTCGTTCGTATTAAATTAACTTTATTGAATGCAATTTAAAAGACCTTTTGAGTGATGTATCAACTGTTCGTAAATCCAATTTAGTTTCAACAATGCTCAGCAACATAGCATTGTTCGGACCATTGTAATGCCGCTTACTCTAGTTTATAGGAGGGAAATATATGGCGCTATTTGGCCATGGCAAAAATGAAGGCAAAACCTGTTCATAAGACGAAATTAAAACATATTTCGGTGAAAAAATAATAAATGAACGATAAGATGTAATCTATCAACTCAATGTCAATTAACATATAGTATACAATACAATAACATACAACTAGCAGCCTGCGTCACTTCTTGACTTCAAAATGCGTGATATATTTGACGTGATATATCACTTATACTGTAGGTAGTTGATAAGGGAAAAAACAGTTATTTATTTCTCATCATATCCCTTTTATTTTAATTGCGTGCGCGATATCTTCCAGGCATCTTAGAACATAAAAATACTAATTAAACATACAATGAAAACACAAAATCTAACGAAAATAATTTTCTTCTTAAAATTTTATACAAATAACATTACAACATTTTACTTGAATTCACTCGAACATCTCCAACTACAGATAATAACCCCATTTTCGTATTCATGTAAACAAAATTGTATCATGGATATCTGTTTTGATTTAAACAAATGTGAACTTGAAAAGGTTGCGATGATCGAAAAAAAGAATTCATCACAAACTCCAAAATTTTAAAAGCCTGTAGGATGGAGGGCTTTCACGGTATATCATCCAAACTCGTAAAAAGCACATCTAGAGGATAAGAGCTTTAAACTGATACCAAATATGCCTATAAAATTAAATATTTAGAGTTCAATTTGCTGCACACAAAAATCCAACAAATTCTTTTATTTATTTATCTTTTATTACAGTTATACATTAGGTATTTTAAACTAAAGACTTTGAATCAAACTCTAAATCTGTACAATGATTATTGCTTTACAACCATAAATAGTTTGTAGCATATTAAAAATTTATCTACTTTAGATAAACACGAAATGCTATACCCGTGCTTTGCAACGGGAAGAAAATGTTACCTAGACAGCTATTGCGGTGTAGGTAACTGGTGCTGATGTTTAGGTGGTGTTTAAAAATACAGCAACTCTGTGATTAAATTTGAAAAGATAAACTGATTTAAAAGTGTTAACTCTACTTACATTCAAAAATAATGTTTATTTCAATAGATTCAAAAAATTATGACAACATACCTTAGTGTAGCAACAACATCAATTACTTGATATTGATGCTTCATGAATGAGATGTACCATAATTCTTCAAATTTATAGCCTCTTTACACGTAGCTTGCTATATAAATTAGAAATGAAACTGTGAGCAAAACTCTACAAAACTTATACAACCTTTCTTTAACATAACCCTCTCGCACATATTTCCTCAATCTAAATAAAGCATCACAAACATCTTTTTCGAGTAAATAAACAAACACCAGTTAATTGCATTGATCAGCTGTTTCATTAAACATAAGTTAAATCATTTAAACTTTGGAAGCATGCTAGACGTATCCCTTTGGGAACGGCCTCAGAGCCCCTAAGAAATTTGTCCATAGTCCATTCCAATAATTTTCGGCAAATCTTCACACTCGAACTTAAACCAACCTTTACTAACCGTATTAGTCAATTCATAAGATTTAGGAGATCATCCACCATGAAATGGTGGTAATTTAATTTGGTAAATTGAAATTGGCAATCAATTGGTATCCAAATTAATTACCAAACATAGTCACATTAATGCTAATTAAATTCATGAATATGTTATTTAAATGACGGATAGGTAATTAATTGACGGATAGGTGATTTAATTGACAAATAGGGGATTTAATTGATGAATATGTGATTTAATAGACGAATAGGTGATTAACTAGTGGCTTGTAGGGGCAATAGCCCCTATATATATGTAATATATTCTAATACTTATTTTGTACAAATTATTTGTCTCATGGGTTACCGTACACTACCTTGAATTATCGTTTAAACTTTTTGTATATTATAATAATGTATAATAGTTATCACATACCTGCATAATTCATTTTTATGTCTGCTCTGTTTAGGATAAAAATTCGAAAGGACTCTTCATGGGGTGTGTTTATAACATACATTTTCTAATCATAATACAACAAAAGTACATTTTCAATAATAATCTTCATGACTATTAATTAAATATATTATACATTTCTTTGAATATAGACAAATTCACTTACACAACACATAAGTTAGAGATAATGCCATCTTCCAAATTGTAAAATACTAATTCTGTAACAAAATCTCTCTGAAAACAACATTTGTTGTATAATATCCATTTTGGTCCATTCCTTGGTCTTTATTTGGTTCTATTACTATTTTAACGTTATCTGGCCGCTTTACCCGGCTAAAAGCAACATAAAGTTGACCATGGGTAAACACTGGTTTTTTTTCAAATAAATGCCAACTTTTGAGAAGGTTTGGCCTTGCGCTTTATTTATAGTAATAGCGAAAGCTAATCGCAATGGGAATTGAATCCTTGTAAATTTAAAGGGCATATTAGGATCTGTAGATATTAGTTTTAAATTTGGCATGAAAATTATGTTCCCTTTGCCTACTCCAGTAATTACTACTAACTTTACACTTTTTCAGACATACCCAACACAACCAATCGTACTCCATTAACTAAATCCAGACCCTATTTCTTATGAGCATCACTATTGAACCAACTTTTAAAACTAATTTGTGTGGTGGCATTCCAGATGGTGTAATTGAATTTATAAACTCAATTGGTATGTTCAACCTCTCTGTAGGGTCTTCTGAAACTACTTCATCATTACTCTAGGATTCCTTATAGTCTCCTTCGATGATTTTTAATACTTCTTCATTTTAATTATCACATTGTTCATTTAAAGGACATACAATTATTTGATTGGAGTAGTTTTGAATATTTTCTGGATTTATTGAGTTGCCATAAACATGTTGTACAATTGCACAATCAGAGAGAACAAAGTTATCTGGAATGTCAATTGCCGGTGTTGCTCTATTGCTCTCTAAGGTTCCATTACCTAAGCGTAGAAGCTAATCACAAAATGCCGTTTCATTTTCATTTGCACGCATGTTTACTTTAAAATGCACTATTGTTACATACAGTACATATTACATACTACCTTTGACTAAATACAACTTCTGTAGCCAATAGTCAATGATATTACCATATGCTTTAAATAAAGTTCAACCACATGTTTTAAAGTAAACAAAGCAGACATGACCTAGATTCCCATGCTATTTAAATGTGAATTACTTTATTCTGTAATAACCTTTTGGTGCATAATTAAGAAAAATGAATATTTTTCCCCAAAATTTCATGCCCAGACCTTTAAAATGAGACCTTTCCCAGCTTTCTACGGCCTCCAGTTCGCTCACAATTTCATTGTAAAATTTTGGGCTTACGGAATTAGATATATAGATTAAAGAATATGTGATTTAATTGACGAACAGATGATTTAATAGACGAATATGTGATTAATTAAAGAATATGTGATTTAATTGGCGCATAGGTGATTTAATTGGCGAATATGTGATTTAATTGACGGATATGTGATTAAATCGACAAATAGGTGATTTAATTTACGAATAGGTTATGTTATTGACCAATAGGCGATTAATTGACGAATAGGAGATTCAATTTACGAATAGGAGATTTAATTGATGAATACGTGATTTAATTGATGAATAGGTGATTTATTTGACGAATAGATGATTAATAGACGAATGTGTGATTTAATTTACGAATAGGTGATTTAATTGACGAATAGCTTATTTAATTGACGAATTGGTGATTTAATTGCCGAATAGGTAATTTAATTGATGAATAGATGATTAATTAACGAATATGTGATTTAATTGATGAATAGGTTAATTAATTGACGAATAGCTGATTTAATTGACGAATAGGTGATTTAATTTAATAGTAGGTGATTTAATTGAATAATAGGTGATTTAATTGACGAATAGCTGATGATTCAATTTTAATTTCTGTCAGAGTAGAAGGGAAATTTGAAATTAAAACCCATACAAAGTGTGAGCCGTCCAATTTACATGTCACACAAAAGCATGCAATCCTCGAAAATTAGTACTTTAACTACCCTACCCATAAATGTTGCTTACCTTAGTCAAAACTAAGTG